ATTTCTTGACTTTTTAAATATATTTTCTTATCATAGAAGCACTTAGTGTTTTGGCACTCAGACTTATTTTGCAGCCTTTCCTCTGATCAAATCAATATCCCTCTACTTACACAGTCTATATGTAATGGAAGGAAAATTAGAAATGCCTCACGAGGGTGCCTAGTTCATTATGAAGCTGCCAAGGGCTTCACCAGCCATAAGTAAGGCATTATCCATGGTGCTAATTAGAATGCACTGGGTCTCTCTCTCTCCCTTTCTCTCTCCTGGGATTTGAGAGAGCCTTGCACTAGCTACTAGCCAACTGCTTTGCCTCTTGAACCAGAAGGGAGAATAACACTTCAGCAGACATCTGCACACCCCTGTTTGCCCTCCTCCCTTCCAGGTAGACCGAGAGAAGGCTTTCTTCTTGATGGGGCTGGGGAGAACTTGGCAAGGGGCAAGAGCTGTTCATTTGTCACCTCCTGGTGAACTCATCCACACGTATAGCCACATACGGGATGCATTGGCAACAGAGAATGGTAACTTTTGAAACCTGTTTTTGTTGTTCCAAATCCTTTTTTTGCTATGTGGTATTGGGTGAAAGCCAGGTTGCTTCTCTAGATGGGGACCCCCACTCAGACTGTGGCCATTCTTAAGTCATCTTTAATATGAAGCCCCACTCTTTGGTTGTGTTAGCCTTGGTTTCTTTTTTCTTTTTCTTTTTTTGGTGGCGCTGGGGTTTGAACTCAGGGCCTCATACTTGTGAGGCAGGCACTCTACCACTTGAGCCACACCTCTAGCTCTGCCTTAGTGTCTTTACCTCCTTGAAATGCAGCATCCATTATCTTATAAATATTTATCAAGTTCTGGGAATACAGTGGTGAGTGAGCCACTAGAATCTTCTTGGTTCACAGTCTAACAAGGCTAAGGCAATTAGAGACCTTCTAGAAATAATATTGAGAAGCAATTCTACAAGTAGGTGATATGTGAGGCCAACAGGAAATGACCTCAAGTTAAAGTTCAGATTCACAGTGTGAGAGATAAGCCAAGAATCTGTGAACGCTTAAAACTCAGACAAGGTGAGCTGGTGTAGCTTGCAGGAAGTATGACTAAATTATGACTGTCACCAAGAAGGCTTAAATCAAGTCATCTGAAGACATGATGTGCCAACATATACTAACAAAGAATCAGAGGAAAGGCAGAGAGAAAAACCACACAGCACACCCCAGGCCTGTCCCAGCAAGTGGAATGGTCATATACTTTGACATTGTCTAATTAAATGCATAGTGTTGGGGGATGGTGGAGGGGGCCGAAGCAGGGATTTGGAGATGGATTGAGTTTGAATTTTTTTTTAATATGAGAAAGAATTGGGTAAGGAAGAGCCATGTTTTAATTGTTTTACTGCTCAACTGCTAACTGTTTTGATATGTTGAACAAAGTCCATTGATTCTTCATGGTGGAGTGTTCGCTGTGAGTGTGAGTCAGCCTGTCGGCATCAACTTGCTCGGAAGCTTTTTTGTGGCAGATTGATTTTTTCTAAGCCCCCAGCAAAACAAAGGATCTTATTTAATAGAGATATTGTTGGGATGGTATTGAGATTTGGGGTTGGCTTTCAAATGAGTCAATATAAATTGCATAAGGTCATTGCTCTGATTTTTCTTATGCCTGTAAGGATCATGATGTGGTATGGAAATAAAGTTGTGATTGGCATCTGAGGTAGATTGGTTCCAGGACTCCTGAGGTTACCAAAATCCAAGAATGCGCCAGTCCCTTACAGAAACAGTGGAGTATTTATATGGAAGTTATGCACAGCCTCCGATACACTGTAAACTATCTCCAGACAATTTACAGCACCCAACACAATGCAAATACTGCTTATATAGTGGTGTTGTTTAGGGATGATGACAGTGGTTCAGGACAGAAGCAATTGTTTCATCTGGGGATGTGAGATTTGCCTGGAGTACCTCTTGACCTCACCCAGCAGGCATGGCTTTCTTTACTAAAGGTAAGGACTGGGCTTCATATAGAGACGTGGTGAAATCTGATTACTAGTATTTCCAACTTACAGGCTTACCTGTGTTTGAAGGAGGGTGTGTGTGTACTCAGGTGTGTCTTTGTGGGTTTCCACCCAATGGTTCAAGGGCAAAGGGTACACAGGAGAAAATTGCTGAAGAAAAGAGAGTTTCTGTGGCTCTTTCAGAAGTGAGACCCCAATTTCTGTCCTCCAGCTAGGAATACATGAGCTGGGTCCCACATATGGGCAGGTGCTGTGCTCCTTCTGGGACATTTTCATCTTTATTTGGATTGAGGACAGAAACGTTTGAAACCATTTCATAGAAGAGCTTTTGCATAGGTTTCCTTGCAAAAGGAAAGCCTGAAAGTCCTGCTTCTCTGAAATTGGTTTAACACCAATCCTAAACCTATGAGCATGACTATTACATCTTACAACTCTTCATATATCCCTTGGAAAAAAGTGAGCTCTCTAGGAAATCACCAGTTCATGGCACAGACACAATGTGATGACAATGGTCACAGCTTATTCAAGGGATGCCACTGGCTAAGGAGGTACATTGCCTTATCAGAAATCTTGCAATAGGCTGAAAGTCAGCAACTTTTCTTTTCTTTCTTTCTTACCCAGAGCCTAGGGCCTGCAAACTTGATCTTGAAGTGCCAGAGAGGAAATACATTTGGCTCTGCTGATTTTAAGTCTCTGTTATAATTGCATAAGGTGAATGAATGATCCTGACTAGGTTTCAATAAAATTGAATTGAACAAACAGGCCACCAGCCTACAGTCTCTTATTTGCTGACACCATGCACAAACCATCCTAAACTTTGACACCCTTTTGAGTATGCAAATCATTCTTTGCAGTAAGGAGTGTATTTGAATATATTATATATATTTGGAGAAAAGAAGCTTCCATACGTGTCACACCGTTTTCCTAAAACTTATTTCATTTGTATATATATATATATATATATATATATATATATACATTGCACATATATATATATATATATATATATATATATATTGCACATTCATTTCCTGACAGTTGCATTCTTCCTAAATGCTTGCTAAGGGTGCCATGTTTGAGATGAAACAAATACATTGATGATGATTGAATTCCTATTCAGGGTGAAGTTTCTTTTCACATGCCAGTGAGTCCCAAGCACCAGGTGGACATGCCTGTCTCCTTTGTAGCAAACAGAAGTCCCCATACTGTGAAGTCCCCATGAGTACTTAAGGGCTCAGGAGCAATCTCCTAATCCTGATGGGGACTCCATGGAAGAGGCTGAGTGTCTGGGATGAGTCCATGCTGACCGTCAGACGCTGGGCATTGTGGAACTCGCACTTTCTCACTGTTACAACTGCCTCCAACCCTCACAAGGGGCTGTGAGTTGGACTTGTTGTCTTTTCAAAGTTATCCTTCATTACACGTGAACTTTGGCTGTACTTTGAGCTTCGCTGTGAACTGATTATTGTCACCAGGGCCTGTTAACACAAATTCCATCACTCCCACTCTAAAAATAAACCATATTTTAACACTTGGAAGCAAAATTCCAAGCAAATATATAATCTGATTTGATTTGAGTCTTTGTTGAAAATGTTAATGGTAGAACGAAATGCTTACCTTGAAGATGGAAGATGGACTCTTTCCTGGGTGTGTGCAAGGTGGTTGGAGGGACATGATTGATTGTACCTCTCAGTGGCTCGGCGGATGCCTAAGTGTTCATCTTGGTTTGGGCCGTTATCCCTCCATTTGTGGCATCCATCATTGACTATCCATTTTCTGTTTAAATCATGCTACATTCAAGGATTTAGGAGTGTAAAGTGTGGCAGGTATCTGTATAACACAGGAACATACCCGCTACGACATTCATACAAATACTGGTTGCCCCGATGATGGATGATAGATGATTTTTAAACTTTCTTCTTTATAGTATGTCTGTGTTTTTAAGTTTCATTAATCAATATGAATTACTCTAAGAGAAATGATACAAAAGCTTTCAAAGTTGTTTTGATGGTAACCTGCAGTAGTATATTTTAAATCCTGACCCACTACCAACATGCATTTATGTGTCTGTAAAATTAAAACAAGAGTTTCATGAAACATTATTTAGGCTTCTTGCTACTTGTTTTTACCTCTTTGTTGATTTATTTTATTTTATTATTATTTCAGTGCTGGGGATGGAATCTAGGGATTTTTGCATGCTGGGATAGCACTCTACGCTGAGCTACACCTCCAGCCCGCTTCCTATTTTTTAAGTTCTGTTTTTTTGAAATGGGGGAGAGACGAAAGAAAGAAGAGGATTCAGGGCGTGACCAAGTAAAATGATTTCATGAGCCACTGATGAGTAAATTGAAAAATACTGATTTTAGTGCAAAGGTTGCCAGTCTTGTATCTTAGGGGTTAGTAAAGTTTTTTAGAAATTGGGGATTGATGTGTGATCATTACTTTTTATGTTGTGATAGAAGGTTTTCTTCCCACCATTATTCTTTATTGATTTGTCACATTACCATTTTATTTCTGTGAACTTTATGATTTGGGCAAATTTTCATGTACCATGTCTTTCCTTATACGGAAGGGTATTTAACATGAAACATTAGGGAGGAAAATTGCAGGATTTAAACGGTGTACATCTTGAAACCAGTCATGCTAGTACAGGCATTGAACCTGTGCACTGTCACTTAGGACTCGTTTATCATCAGCATAACAAAAGGAGACTGGAAGTGAAGTGACCCAGTTCACCTCCAGTTCCCGGATTCCAGCTAGTTGGGGCAAATCACTTAACTTTTGTTAACTCCATTTTACTCATCTGGAAAAGACAAAGCTTTCAGAGACACAGAGATAGGTTTATTTACCTCCTTTTAAAATTTTATTTATTTATTTATTTAACTTATTTATTGCGGCACTGGGGCGTGAACTCAGGGTCTACACCTTGAGCCACTCCACCATCCCTTTTTTGCTTTGGATTTTTTGAGATAGGGTCTCATGAACTATTGGTCCCAGCTGGATTCCTACAGCAATCCTCCTGATTAGCTAGGATTACAGATGTGAGGTACTGGTTCCTGGCTTTATTTTTTTCTGAGACTGAATCTTGCTACTAGCCCAGGCTGATCCTTCCGCCTCAACTTCCCAAGTGCTACCATGCCCCGAGATAAGGTTTATAGAAGGTTAAAGACTGTTGGAGGCATAGAGATGTATCAGTGGTATTGTTTTTCTGGATTGTTAACTATCTCAGCTGCTTAGTGATGCAGAACTTTGGAGTGGAAAAAGTTTATTGCGTGTCTCTATTTAATGATGAATCTCTTTAATGATTTCTGTTGCTTCCTGCCTAGTCTTACCTCACTTCCCCCCAACTTTCAGTGCCCCATCAGCCTCTGTCTGCCAGTATTCATGTCAGGGACCCAGCTTGTTTGGCAGTCTGGCTTTAGGGTACAGCTAGAAAACCTTCCTTGATAGCGCAGTGAGTTTGCAGTTTCTAAGCTGTGGTTTTGGCTAGAGACATGAAAAAAAAAAACAAAAAACAAAAAACAAAACTTGGACATTAAGCAGAATATTGAGGATGAGAAAAGGATATGCTTAAAATAGATCTCATGTGCTTCTGTTTAGCTACACAGTAATTCGTAAAACGTGGAAGGGGGGGGGATTGAACCCAGGGCCTCTTCCACAGAGCTCCACTGCCCAGCCCCTAAAACAAATGGTTTTCTGTAGCTTCAAAGACAAACACACACTTTCCACATCTTCTCTTTGACTCATAAGGAATGTAAATGCATGGCTTGCCCATCTTCACACATTCTGCGTCTCCAAGGAAGATACAGTCATTCTGAAAAGCTGCGGGATGAATCACTCTGAAAACTTTTCTTCCTTTGTGCTAAAGTCATGACTTTGTGGATAGTGGACTGTCCATCTCAGTAGTGCCTTTATTTAACGTCCCTTCTCCTTGGCTCAGTCAACCGATACGCGCTCAGCACACCCATTGCACCTCGTTTGTCCCCAGCGGATTAATCTGCCAGGAAAACACAGCTATCTGTAGCCCTCAGGAAACAGCAGGGCGTTCCTGTGAACACCGTAAGTTTTCTATAATAATAGCGGACGTTTTTGTGGGCTCACCATGTTCTAGCAACTTCATTACAGGCTTTAAGAACATTATTTCCCATAATCCTAAAAAAACCAACCCAAACAACCTCCCCATCTTGATTTCTTGAGAGAGCTCTGTAAATGTCAGCTTCTGTACAACAGGCTCCATTGTGGAGATTTCAGGTGTGTGGGGGAGGCTCTGAACTCATTCTACTTGCATTATTTATTGAGTGAATAGTGGGTGCCAGATATTCGTCTGGACACAGATACACAGCAGTGACTCAGACAAACTCCCTGCCCTCACGGTGACCATATTCTGGGGGTGGGGACCCTGACAATGGCATAAAAGCACACGAAAGAGACAAAAATAATAATGGCAGCTAGAATTAAAGCAGTACAAAGGGCCAGGCAGCAGGCATGGGGAGAGAATGGGAAAGGCCTTTGACAAAGCCACCTTCGGGCAGAGAACTAAGTGAATCGTGGCGGCCAGCCTGGTACATACTTGTTGGCAAAGGCGCCATTTCCTTCTGTTCTAAATGTCGTTCCTCTTCAGTTTCTTCCACTTTCCTTCTCTCCTCCTTGCTGTCAGAGTCAGAAAGGGACTTAGCTGAATCAGATCAAGGGAAGCCAGAACTAAAAAGGACACAGAGCTCCAGGTGGGGAGCGGAGATGTCAAAAGTCTTAGCTGCAGGAGGCAGGGGAGAGGTTGGTGGCTGTGTATAAACCCTGCCTGTGCACAGGCAGGTGTCTCCAAGGGCCAGGGGGAGCACCCAGTCTCAGGCAGGAGAGCCACCCAACCATGAAGAGTCTGGTGCTGGCACAGATAGAGGTCCAGGCTGGATGAGAGTGGGTCATCAGGGCCAAGGGGACTGCAAATGGCTTGGCTTTCTGGGGAGGTGGAGCTCAGCTAGGCTGGGCTCAGAGCACCTGGATTACAAGGGAGAAAGACTTGCAGGGTGGGACTTAAAGCTGACCCTGTGGCTAGGGAGTCCCAGTGCTCTGTTATCCCTCCCTGGGCCCCTGGTGCATTTCTAGAAAACACTGTGCATCCCATTGCATGTGGTCTGCGCATGCCTCTCTGGGAAAGCCCGGCCATTTGCACATACTGACTACCACTTCAGCCTGGTTCCCAGGCAGCCGCAGAAGGAAGCTCTTGCCATGCACCCTCCACCCCACCCCCACAGACAGAGTTTCCTCTACCAGCTCCCACAGGCTTGTTACACACAACCCTCATTGCACCCCTCTGCCTGGTGCTGGGAACTTTTTAAGGAATGCAGGCTGTGGGTTAGAAACCCAGAGCTCAGCATCCAGAGTCAGGCCGACTGGTTTGACCCTGGTTCCCTTTGGACAAACTATGCGACCTCAGTTTCTCCATATATAAAATGGAAATTATAACAGTTCCTACGATGCTACCGAATGGTGTCTGACCCCAGAAGTGCTGCTGCTTTTTACACGTTATCTCTCACCAAACTGTGGAGCCCTCCAGGGTGAGGCCCTGCCCTAGACTTGTTTGTGATCCCAGGGTAGCACACCACCTGCCACACTGATTTCATCAATGTGCTCAACAAGCACTTACTAAGGCCTGCTTCCAGATGGGGGATGCAGGGATGCAGCCACTGGTGAGACAGACTCGTCCCTGTCTCCATGGGACTGGCACTGTACTGGTGGACACAGCTGTAAGAGAGTGAAGACAGACATAACTAATATAGTTTCAGGTAATGATAAATACTACTAAGAAGAAAAAAATCAACTGGAGGCTGGGTGCAGTGGTACATGTCTATAACCCCAGATACTTGGGAGACAGTGATTAGGACCAGTCAGGCTTGAGACTAGCCCCAGCAAAAAGATAGCAAGACCCCATTTCAACCAACAAGCTGTGCATGGTGATGCCTGTCTATAATTCCAGATACCTGGAAGGCAGATAGAGGTCCAAGGCTGGCCCCAGGCAAAAAAAGATGAGACCCTGTGTGAAAAATAACTATAGTCAAAAAAAGGGCTGGGGACCTGTATTGTTCTTTTTTGTTCAGAGTGAAAATGCTAAAAAGGGAGGAGAGACTCCAGGCCACAAAAATTGAATTTTATTGCAATCCTGCCAGGGCTCACCCACTGTGTGTCTATAGATTTCTTCTGGCCAGCCCTGTGGAAAGGTTTCAGGGACTGTGATCAAGCAACACATTCTAATTAAACTAATGGGATTCTCTGCAAAACTCAGGTCCAAATGGTAGCGCCCTACTGGGCTTTGGTCTCTCCCACAAAACCTGGCCCTGTGTCTTGGGTCTGGACACAGAGTAGGTAGAGTGATTTTTTTTTTTTTGATGGTACTGGGATTTGAACTCAGGGCCTTGTACCTGCTAGGCAGGGTGCTCTACCACTTGAGCCTCTTGGCCAAGTCCTAAATTTTGTTTTTATTTTATCATATTTTATTGGAGGAAACTTGCAGTATTAAAAAAAAAAGGCTTAGAATGTTCATCCATAAAATAATTATGAAACTATTAAGTGGTTAAATATCCACGCACTTAAGGAATATGGACTTTTTTCTTACCATATATTAATTACAGAAAGGAGTTTCACTGTGAAACGTCCACAATGGTTTTCTTTTTCTGTAGTTTTTTTTTTTTTTTTCCTCCACTTTTCTTTTCCTTTTTTGCTAGGTAGCTCAGGCTGGCCTTGAACTCATCGTCCTCCTGACTCAGCTGCCCAAATGTTGGGATTATAGATGTGCACCACCACACCCAATTAAAACCTTAAAATTTATTTTTTAACTGATACACAAAAGGTATAATTTTCTGTTATGGTTTTTCCCCTGTGTAACCGATGAATCTCCCATTGTTGATTTTTTTTTTAAGATCAACACTATATTTAGTTAATAAAAGAACTGCAGAATAGGATTGCAAGCAGCTGTGTTTGCTGTTGGCATGGCGTTCACAGTACCACAAGGCAGAAACAGACCTGTAGAAAGAAAAGGGCGATGTTCGTCCCTTCAGCTGCCAGTGACCGTCGTCAGTCTTACTCCTGGTGTTTATCTACTTTTCTGCGGTCAGTGGGGCTCTGAGACGATTCTGTGTAGCACGCATTTGAAGGTATGGTAATTATGGAAGGTAATTTTTCATAGTCATAAACTTGTCTCCATCTTGGGCGGGGGGATGGCGTTATTCTTGGACATTTCATTCATTTATTGACAGATAAAAAGTGATATTTCAATGTATGCATATGTGGCAGGATCATTTTTATGTTATTTATTTACTTAGACAGGGTCTTGCCATGTGGCCCAAGCTGGCTTTTTATATTTATTTACTTGGTGGGACTGGAGTTTGAACTCAGGGCTTTACATTTGCAAAGCAAGTGCTCTATGGCTTGAGCCACGCCTCCAGTCCCTTTTGCTCTGATTATTTTGGAGATCGGGGTCTCATGAACTATTTGCCCAGGCTGGCCTCGATCCTTGGAACCTCCCGATCTCAGCCTCCCAATTAGCTAGGATTACAGGTTTGAGTCACCTGTACCCATCCCCAGGCTGGTTTTGATTTCCAGTCCTTCCTCAGCCTCCCACATGGTGTTCACCACTCTGACTGGCCCCTGGGATGATTTTTAAAAATTGTTTTATTTATTTATTTACTTACTTATTTTGTGGTACTAGGGATCTAACCCAAGGTCTCCTGTAGACAACGTCCTGCCGAGCTACACTCCCAGCTCACATTGTGGAACAATTAAACCAAGCTGATTAACTATCTGGTCACCTCATATTCTTATCATTTTTCTTTTTATGAGGGGGCATTTATTTTTATTTTATTTGTTTATTTTTTGGTGGACCTGGAGTTTGAACTCATCAGGGCTTCATGCTTGTAAAGCAGGCGCTCTATCACTTGAACCACACCTCCAGTCCTATTTTATTTTATTTTTGAAGCAAGGTCTCCCTATGTAGTCCAACCAGGCTGGCCTCAAACTTGTGATCCTCCTGTCTCAGCCACCGAGTGCTGGCACCACCACACCTGGCTCAGGACATTTATTTTATAAGTGTGTGGATCCTTGGGTGCTTGGGTATTCATGGATTATGTGGATTTATTTTTGCATCTTGTTTTCAATGTATTATCTTTTGCTGAATATCTTGTTTGTATGTAACACAGCCAGTGATGAGTGAAAAAAGAGGAATAAAGAAAAAAAAAAAAGAAGAAGCAAACAAGTTAAAAACAACATGACTTGGCCTTCTTTCCCAGCAGGCAGTAATTTTGGATGTGAAACTTGGAGGCAGGTAGGAGGGAAATGGAAAGTCTGAAATGAGACCTGCCTGATGGCTTCACTTACATCACAGGTGGTTTGTGGCCTTGAGCGTGGACAAGGTAAGGCTAGCAAGACCCGGCCCTTCAGCAAAACACTGAAGAGAGCACCAGACACCCCAACAGTCAGGATAATACAATCTTTTGAAAAATATAATGCAGAGTACTCCCGATGAACACAATATGAAAATGTTAAAGACAGGATCTAACCCTGCAGTGGTGCACTCAGCTTCACTTGTTTCCCTCCATTGCCAGTCTTGACCTTGAGTAATCAAAAGTAAGATCATTGAAACCTTAAAAAAGAAAAAAAAAGGCTTAGTTCCTCTAAGCCTGAACTTGGTCTGGGTTGGAATTCAAACTCCATTTTAACCTGTTTTGTGACCTTACGCAAATGACTGAACCTCTCTGAACTTCCTTTTGCAAAATGGAGAAAATGTTTTCCCTTGCATGGCTTTTGGGTGATTTGAAAAGCTATGAAGTGCTGAGTGCATAGTGACATCCAATAAACAATGGTCTTAAACAATTCATAGTTACTCACAGTGAATTAAACTCACCAAGAGATACAGCAGGTATCTCTAAGCATACCACACACTTGGCAGGGTTAACAGGCCTTATTTTAAACTTTGTAGAGCCCATCTAAGTATAGCTCTTCTGCCTGCACTTTGAATATCACATCCGTTCCACTAAGCAACCGATTTCCTGTTTAGTCATTGCTCTTTGCCTGTGCCTGGCCTCGGCTGCAAGCTACCATCTCTGTACTTCCTTCTCCAGGAACTTAGCTTCTCAAGATGTCTAGATGTCAGGCCTTATAGGTTTTTATTTGTTAAGGCCTCCCTAGTCATTGGGAGTGGCTAAGGCGTCTCCCACACCTGCTGATTCACTGGGATGACATTTCACCTTGTCAATCCCTGTCCCCCCGCCCCCAGACGCAGCTATGTTTGCATCACTAGCACAGAAGCAGTGGCCCTGATGGTGAGGAACTGGGGATCCAGTTAATAATGGCTTCAGCAATCCTCATGTGTTCTCTTAAGTTGAACCAGGCTGATGAAGCAATAATTGTGTCCTCCTCTGACCCAGTCCTTGCTGTAGAGACCAGAAAGCTGAACCCTCCCTGCAGGAGGGTCCTAAGAATGGGAAATGAGATGACGGAAATGACAGAAGAGTGTTGCCAGAATAACTTATCAGACTTTGGGAGCCTTAGGCATCACTAATGGTTGTTCCAATATGGACGGAGGCTGTGTGCTGCTGCCCCAGTCCAGTGTGTGGTTTGGATTTGAACTCTGCTGTAACACTTAATTAGTTAACAGGAACTTATTGTTAACTAATTCCATAGTTGGCAGGAAGGAGAGTAGGGCTTTGTCCCAATATCTTTGTGATTTAGTTGAGTACAGTAGATTCTGCTATCCTGAGCTGAGCTGGCGCTTCTCGCCTGGGTTGTGTTTCTCTCATTTCTGCCTTGGAAGTGTGGTTGGATCTCAGGGTGGAGATCTTCCCAACCTGCTCCACCCGACCTGTCCACCTATCCATCGCACCATCCTCCTGGGTAATACTGGGGCTGGAGGTTAAAGAAAAACATGCACCTCGCTCTGTTTTTTCAGCATAGCCTCCCATGTGGTGAGCCAAATGGCAAAAGTTAATAAAGCTCTACAAAAAAAAAAAAAAAAAAGTCTCATGTCCACTCTGTTCCATGTCACTGTCACTCCTCATAACCCACTGACTGGGGTGAAATGGGGGAGTCTTCAGGTCTGGCATTCCCCAGACCTGAAGCACAAAAAAGGTTTGTATCGGGGGAGGGGAAATAGGAAAGGAGAGGGTGCTGGGGGGAATATGAATGAAGTACATTATATGTATGTATAGAAATAGTATCATGAAACCCACTAAAAACTGTTAGGACTGGTGGAGTGGCTCAAGCGGCAGAGAGCTTGCCTAGCAAGCGGGAGGCTCTGAGTTCAAACCCCAGTGCTGCCAAAAACAACAACAAAAAAAAACCCCACAAACACACAAAAAACCCTGTTAAAGTTCGGGGGAAGAGGGGTTAATAAAGCGCAAAGAGGAATAGAGAGGTGAACTTGAACAAAGTACAGTATACGCAGATATGGAACTATCACAACGAAACCCTTTGCATAATTAATTCATGCTAATAAAAAGGCAGGTTGTAAAACGAATAGCAACATGTCCTTATAATTGGGATTCTTTTTCGTAGCAGATTTTTTGGTACTTACTTTGATTTTTTTTTTTTTAATTGTAAATGGTGGAATTTTTTTTTTTAAACCCCAGTAGTACTGAGGTTTAAACTCAGTGTTCTAACACTTGAGCCACTCTGCCAGTCCCTTATTTTGGTTTCTTAAAAATACTGCACAAAAGTATTAAGAGTCAGGATGGGTGAGGGCTTTGGGTCCATTTAAATTTTGCTCCTGAGGCAAGCACCCTCATCTCTCATTCTAGTCCTGGCTGGTTTATTACAAAAGCCACTCCCAGGTTGCCATGACACAGCTGTCAGTCCTCTTCCTCAGAGACCAGTCCTGATCATGGCTCTTTCTTCTTGGCTCCTGATTGCCCAAGGGCTGAAATCCAGCCCGCTTGTCGTGGCCTTCAACTCGCAGGGCATCTGCCCCGCCTGGCCCTGTTACCTTTCTCTCTTCCCTCACTAAACCTCTTCAGGATGGTTCTTTGGCTCATGCTGTCACTTCTACTTGAATTGTGGCCCTGTCCCCATTCGCCTTCCCCCCAAATAGCCCTGCCTGGCTTTTGAATTCCACCTGAACTATCCCTCCTGGCTGGGCTCCTCCAAGCCGGCTTAATTGCTTGGTTTTCCCACAGGAACCTTTGTGTTTTCACTCAGTTCATATCTTGGTGCTTGCACTCACTATTGGGCTGTGATTTATCTGTTTACCTGTGTCCCCAGTTCCACTGACAGCTCCATGACAGCAACCAAAGCTTTTGTCAAATGAATAAATGAATACAATTTGATACAGTGAGAAAACAATTGCAGCAGCTACAAATAACCTGTAGCAGAGAGGGTGCTGTGTCCTGTGCCCCAGCTTCCACACCCCTCCACCCCTGTGCCTGGGATTAAACCTGTGCTTTGCACATGATAGTCAAGTGCTCTACCACCAAGCTGCATCCCCAGCTCAGGACACTGGTCTTAAAGTTAGGAGGTCCTCAGTTCAAATTGTGGTCCTGTTTTGAGCTGACTTTATGACACAGTAATTAATTTCAAAAATTTTTTTTTTTTTTTTGCGGCACTGGGGTTTGAACTCAGGGCCTTCACCTTGAGCCATACTGTCAACATTTATTTTTTGAAGATTTTTTTTCGAGATAGGGTCTCGCTAACTATTTGGCTGGGTTGGCTTTGAACCTCTATCCTCCTGATCTCTGCCTCCTGGGTAGTTAGGATTACAGGCGTGAGCCACTGGCGCCCATCTTCATTTCAGATTTTTTAAAAAGTGGTACTGGGATTTGAATTCAGAGCCTCATGCTTGCTAATCAGGCACTGTACCATTTGAGCCACTCCACCACTAGCCCTTTTTTGTGTTGAGTATTTTTGAGAAAAGTTCTCAAGAACTATTTGCCCAAAACTGACTTTAAACTGTGATCCTCCTGATCTCTGCCTCCCAGTAGCTAGGATTGCAGGTGTGAGCTATTGGCGCCTGACTTAATTTCAGATTTTCTACTATTCAAGCATAAGTAAAAGTAGGATGATCACCCCACTTACAGCAATCAGTTCATGGGCACTTTTGTTACTTGCAAGCCTGCCCTCTTCTACTTTCATCCCTGGATTTATTTTATTCTGAAGCAAATCCCAGGCAGCCGATCAGTTCAACTGCAGTTAATTTCAGCAAGAATTTTAACATTGATTGCAAACTCAAACTCAACACAAGCCTCGTGTAAAGAAGCGATCACACGGAGCTGGGAGAGTGGGGAAGCGAGTCATTCCAGACGAAAATGGCTTTTGACAGAGAAGGTTTATAACTAGGTGCCTGTAGCTCATGTGTGACATGTGATGGCAGGATGGGAGAGCAAATGGGAAGGTAAACTGAGGCCTGGAATGTAACAGAGAAGCAGTTTTTTGGGGTGAGGAATGAGGCTGGAGAACATTTGAGGTTTGTGTAACAGTGAGTAAATAAAGGGCTGTGTTCACAATTGTGATGCGTGGCTTAGGACAGTAAGACTACTTATGTCCTCCAGCCCCGTCTCTGCCAAGCACTTTGCTTATTAGTTTATCCTTGAACAAGGAGAGAGTGTGACAGGTGCATTTATAGAAACCAGTTCCTGTACCAGCTACTGGGCTTTAGTGGGGGAGCAAAGAGAACTCAAGGTTTCCATGCTCAGCCCTACACTGAGGTGACCTGGCAACTGTACGTTTTATCCCGCTGGGTTTAATCCTTATTAAGAATAACAGATCTGAGCCTTGTTATTCGTGGGAGTGAATTTCTGCTGCTGAGAGAATTAGCTGCAATTTTATTCGAAGGTGCCTTCTGATGCAAGAGGTCTTCGCGACAGTGCATAAAGAGAGGGCATTGTTCAGGCATTTGGATATAAATAAGGCTTAAATTGCTCCAGAAGTTCCAACCAGACTGCAGGTATCTTTGTTTGGCTGACTTTTTTTTTTTTTTTTTCTGTTCTTTTTTTTCCTGAGGCCACAAGTGGTACTTTTCTCCTTGTTGCTTTAGTTCCTGCCTCTTCAGCATTTCCCAAAACTAGGGTACAACTAACCCTTTTACTGGAAACTTTTCTGCCTGGAGAGGGGAAAAAAAAATTCTTCTGTGTCCAAAGAAATGGGATGGAAATTGAAAGTAAGTGCCAGGATGTCTCACTGAAATAGGGCCGTTAGAAAGAGGGAAGGAAATAATTTTGTTTCTGATTAAGAGCAGAAGGGCAAGTTGAGAGACTAGTGTGGCTGAAGGGAGTTGATCACCTGTGCCAGTCTCGAACCCCCACACTCCAAGACTCCAGTACAATAGCCTTTAAGTGTTCTTTGAGTCTATATCTTTTAAAAAAGTTTTTGATCTATATTTTTAAAACAGTATTTGCTGTATAGCCTGCTTACTTGTCTTTGAAACCACAAAGAGACGACCCCTCTGCTTGAAGGTTCTTGTTTCTGAGATTTTCTTTACTGAAATCTCAGCTAACACATTCCTTTTCTGTCAGGGCATACTTAAAATGATTTTGTGGGCTTAATCTGAGTGTTTCATTTGTTCTTTGTCTGCATGTGTCACTGAGTATGTGGATGTCTGTGGATCTTCTACCCCGAGTAAGATGGTTTCAGCATATAGAACCAGCTCTTAAAACTGGACAGTCTCTAAAACAAGAAAATTAGAAAAATAAGAAGGGCTCTGGATGTAGCTCAGTGGCAGAGTACTTGCCTAGGGTGGACAAGGCCATGGGTTTGATGTCCAGCACCCCCTTCACACACACTCACATGCACACTAAAAGAGAACTGGGCAGGTTTCCTGCTGCCCTCCCCTGGATGCAGCGGCAGCCTGGGAAGCTAACTGGTGTGGTCTTCATTCACGAACTTGCCCTTGAAGGTGCTTCATGCATTACTCTGATCTCCACCCTCACTCATGTCACCTCTATTTTTCCCCTCCTCTTGGCCTTTCTAGAACCTTTGGGCCATTTTGTCCTGACTTTTCTTCTAGTCCATCCTTTAGGTTATTAACTTCTGGTTCAAAGCCCTTTGTCACCATCTTTAGTCAAAATCACACTAGGCAGTATTTGTGTCATTAGCCTAAACCCTAAACTTCCTAGTAGCCTGTTGTCCTATCACCTCTGGTTGGTTGCAGGTGCCATGTGGTCACAAAAGTTAAAGACATAGTCGATCATCACATGCTTCCAATTGCGGACCACTGCTTATTGCCACCAAGGTGAACTCTGTCTCTGTCTGGTTGTCTGGTTTGAATGCCTTAAGCTCATTCTAATCTCATTATAATGATAAAAACACATTCACTGGCGCCATGACAGATCCAGTCATGCCCACATGAGGGAAGAGGAGACACCCTGATTCCTGGAAATCATGATGTCAGCTTGCATACCACGCCCCCTTCTGACCTAGTTCTTGCCACTAGACCCTAGACCTGCACCCAGAAGATACCTTAGAGTATGACCTCCCCTTCGATGTCCTGTGACTGTTGAATAAAATCTCCTGCCTGCTCCCAGCATAGCATGCTTATTTAGGAACTGTTCTGAGAAAGAGAAAGAACTTAAAGATCTGCACCGTTTACTAAGCTGCAGAGGTCAGTGCATGGGCTTCAAAGCATTTCTTGCTCTGCTCCTTAGTAAGGTCCTAACAGTTTATCTCTTTGCTTTTCCTCCCCGTCACCTGTGCTTTGGCACCCCAGCAGCCAAAAACATTTGGCCGTGCTTACTTAATTTGGGCTGACTTCCTAGAGGACAACATAGCCAATGTTGACATGACAGAGTCCCTTGTCTTGTGTTTTCTCTCGTGGTCTAATTTGAAATGTGCTCTAGCTTGGAAAGTCTTCTTGGTGTTTAGAAGTTTGAAAGTGACCCAGAAAATTGCTTTGATGATACTGGAATGTCCTTTGAAGCTTTAGAGACCGTTAGCTTGTGGAGCTGACAACGTGCATAACATTTGTCTTTAAATGAAAAAGAAGTTTAAAAAGTAATAACCACACCCCTACATTTGCTTGACAGATGGCAGAGAAAAAAAAAATCTTCCTGTCTTTACCTTGACCAGACTTCTGGGAGGTTAGTTTGCATGAAAACTTCAACGTGGTAATGTGGACAGCTTGAGAATTGCAACTCAATCACTTGTCTGGTTTGGAGGTGGAAAAAAGAAACAATAAGGTAGTTATGTACAACTAGCTGCCAGAATGGTCAAACAGGAAAGCTAATCCATTAATCCTTTGTGCATGTATCAGAGCTGATGCGAAAATGAACATGTTAAAAACAACCTTGTGGGTTGGAGGTGTAACTCTGGTAGACCAGCTCTTAGTGTGTGCAAGGATCTGGGTTCAATGCCCAGCACTGCAAAACAAACAAACAAAGCTCCTTTTTCCTCTGTTACCTCAGGTTTTGGATATTTTACTTAACTGGTTACCTTTTTGGTGATGAGATTTGTATAGTAGCTAGTGATTATCAACAATTAAAATAACAAGTGACATAAAGGAACACTCACAATTAAAATTACACTTCATGTTTACTTTCATGACTTAGAAGTAAATTTAGAATCCGTTTCTTGATTCTTGTGATATTTTTAAAATTAGGGACTTGTGACTTTAGAACAATGAGCTGGGAATGCAAAATATTTCCTTCCATTTGCTGTCAATGAGATACTTAAGAACTTGTAGCTGGGAGCTAGTGGCTGATACCTGTAATCCTAGCTACTCAGGACACAGAGATCAGTAGGATCATGGTTTGAGGCCAGCCTGGGCAAATGCTTTACATGACCCTATCTTGAAAATATCCAACACAGTAAAGGGCTGGTGGAGTGGCTCAAGTGGTAGAGCACTTGCCTTGTGATCACAAGTCCCAGTACCAAATACAACCAAACAAACAAAAAATTAGATACTTAAGAACTCAACTTATGAAGAAATAGCCCCCTGAAAGGGACCCAAGGGCAAACATTATGCCCCTTTTTCTCAGACCAAAGAGACACAAGAAGGGTTCTCTCTCTCTCTCTCTCTCTCTCTCTCTCTCTCTCTCTCTCTCTCAGTGCTGAGGATTGAACTCAGGCCTTATGCATTCCAGGCAGTGCTCAACCACTGAACTACATTCCCAGCCTGCAAACTTAAAAAGAAAAAATTATAGTAATGTTTACTTGGCATAAAAATTTACCTTTTTAACCATTTTAAGTGCGAGGGTAAGTTCATTCACCATCATATCCATTTCCAGGACCTGTTCACCATCCTAGACAGAACCTGTGTACTCATCAAACAGTCACTCCCCAGTGTCCCCTCTCTTCATCTTCTGGTCACCTCCAATCTACTTTCTGTCCCTATGAATTTCCTACTTAAGTGCCTCATGTACATGGAATCACACGTGTGTCCTTTGCGTCTTGTGTCACTTAGCATAATGCTTCCAGGGTCCATCCATTGGATGAATGCCATTTCTTTTTAAGGTTGAATAATATTCCATTGCGTTTATACACTACATTTTGCTTGTCCATTCAACTGTTGATAGATGTACAGAAGACTTGAAATTATTTATTTATTTATTTTTAAATTAAATTTAATTTTTTTGCGGTACTGGGGTTTGAACTCAGGCCTACACCTTGAGCCACTCCACCAGCCATTTTCTGTGATGGGTTATTTTCAGGATAGGGTCTCACCAACTATTTGTCTGGGCTGGCTTCGAACCAGCCGCAATCTTCCTGATTTCTGCCTCCTGAATAGCTAGGATTACAAGGGTGAGCCACTGGAGCCTGGCTATTTTATTTTTTTTGGTGCTGGAAACTGTTTTTTTAAAGGGGCTGAGAATTTAGTTCAGTGGGTAGAGCTCTTGTCTGCCAAGTGCAAGGCCCTAGGCTCTTTCCCTAGCACTGAAATAAATAAACAAACAGACAAATAAAAGCACCATTTAAAAGTCTTTCCTCAGGCTGGGTGCCAATGGCTCATGCCTGTAATCCTAGCTACTCAGGAGGCAGAGATCAGAAAGATCACAGTTCAAAGCCACCCCAGGCAAATAGTTCATGAGACCCTATCTCGAAAAAAACCCTTCACACAAAAGGGCGTTTGCAGTGGCACAATGCGTAGGCCCTGAGTTCAAATCCCAGTCTACAAAAGCAGCAACAAGAAAAAATAAGTCTTTCATCTTCCTAGCTTCCTACTGGTGTCTGTTCTGGAGTCATGTTTCGAGCCCTTTGTTTGCCAAGTATGAAGACTTCAGGGTTGGATGACCTCATCCCTGCTTTCAGGATGCTTTGCCTCTGGTTTCTGGAGGGGCAGACTGACAAGCACCCCCCTGGCTTGGGGGGTGGTGTGGCCACCCAGCTAAAAGCAGAGGGAACAGTGGCAGCTCACTAGTAGAGAAGGAAGCACAGTCATCACTGCAGGTGGGCAGAGGTTGTGGCTTTTGCTCATATTTTAGGTTCCAGGTGCTCTTATCAGAAGGTGTGAGCAGACTTTTTTAAAATTTTAAATAATGGGGTCTTGCTATGTTTCCTAAGCTGGCCTTGAACTCCTGAATCCCAGAGATCCTCCTGCCTCAATTTCCCAAGTACTTGGGACTATAGATACACATATTGGTGTACACCACCATGCCCAGCCAAGCACAAGCAGACCGAAGGGTTATAAATGCAAGAAAAGCAGGTTACACTGTGATTCCTTCACACCTAGCTACTGCTTCTTGTCAACTAGTCTCAAAATTTGCCATTAAGGACTCCTCTTCCTTTAACCAACAGCACACAACTCTGTCGACTTATTTCACCCCACAACATACAGAAGCATGTGTGATATGGCCGACTTTCAAGTGATATTCTCATCTCGGGTACAGTTCTTCAGTCTCCAAATCCTTTCTGTGCACGGTATTCCCACTTGTACATACAGAGAGACGGGAGAAGGTCATTAACTTATCTTTGGTGAAAGCAAAGAGTATAGGATCTAGAACTCCTGGCATTCAGCCTGCTGCTCTTTTGTCTGTGTTTCTTAATACTCGCTGTAATATTGTACTCATTGACACATTTGGATCAGACTCTCTCAGTATCAGACACCTTGGGGGCATCCGGAAAGTCCAAACAGTAGGCTGTGTGTTTGTACTGTGGATCAGTGACCAGGTGGGTGATAGAATCTACTTGCAATTGGAATTTTGCAGATAAGCTGAAGATAGTATGTGGAATTGGATCCAGCCACCATCACCTGGAAAGAGCAGACTACTGACAATATTAGGCAGCTAAATCTTGGTTTCTGGAAGCCAAATATATATGGTCTACACGGTCTCTGTTGTTATCTGCTCCAATCTGTGTGTTTGTTTAGATCATCATCAGCGGCAAGTTTGTTTTGTAATCTCTCTCTTCCTAACATCTGCTGGCGGTCTGCTTTGAAGAACTGACAGAGCACAATGGAGGAAGAGGTGTTTGCTTAATGGCAAAGACGACAGACTTCTTTGCCTCTGTCATCTTGAACCCTAACTTCTTGCCTTAAATGTGAGTCCATAAGAATTTGAATTTGATTTTGTAGTTTCAGTGACCGTCTGTTTTGCTAATGATTCCCCAGCTCATAACTTTGACCCTTCCTTGCCTTTTTCTGATTTTGTGACTATGCACAGGGTATTTGTATCATGAGGACTCATAGTCCCTCAAAATCAGCCTAAAGCACAATGTATGGTTACCTCCTTCCCCCAAACCTACTTCTCCTGCGTGGCTCCAATGACTTTTAGGGACACCACTTTTTTCATAGTCGCAAAGACCAGAAGAAAATAGAAGCTGTATCCTTCTCTCTCTGCCACCTGTTATAAATAAATACAGTTATCTCCCCTTATCTGAGGGAAGTCCATCCCAAGACATTCAGAAATCTCTGAAACCATGGGTAGTACCAAATTCTCTCTCTCTGTATACTATGTTTTTGCTGAGCACACATTTGTGATGAAGTTTAATTTATAAATTAGGCACAGTAAAGGATTAACATAATAATGTAGAAGAATTATAGCAATACATTGTAATAAAATTGGCAGCATCACTCTTCATGCACTTTGGGGTCATTATTAAGTAAAAAAAACAGGGGGTACTTAAATACCAGCACTGTGATGCTGAGACAGTCAGTCTGATAAGCAAGAGGGTTCTGAAATGACTAACAGGTGGGTTGTGTGTACAGGGTAGAAACCCTAACAAAGAAAGGGATGATTCATGTGCCCAGAGAGATGGAGCAGGACACGGCAAGAGTTCAGCATGCTACTCAGAATGGCATGAGGTTTACATCTTCTCAATTGCTTATTTCTAAAGGTTTTCATTTAATGTTTTCAGACTGTGGATAACTGGAATTGCAGATAATTGCTCTACTTGATTCTGTCTTCCAGATATCTCTTAGATTTGACCTCTAGCCTATTTGTCTACAGCTGTTTTCATTTCTATCTCTTATCTGGAACCTGGACACAGCCTCTTGCCTTTTCTCTTATATCTATATCTTCTTCTTTTTCTTTTTATTGTTGTGCTGGGTGGGGTTACATTGTAGCATTTATAGAAGTTCTTACAATAATATATCAAATATGGCATTACTTGAATTCATCCTCTCCACCATTCTTCTTTATCACCTCCACCCCAAGAATTACCATTCTAAAACTCAATCTTATCTCGATAAGATTCTTTGATGGTTTCCATCCTTCATGAGTTGAATTGCTGACTTCTTTGCAAGGTCCTCCTGTTTTCTCAGGTCCGTTTGCTCTTGTAGCTTTGTTTTGGTGATACTGGGATTTGAACTCAAGGCTTCACATTTGCAAAGCTGACATTTGCAAAGCAGGCACTCTACCGTTTGAGCCACACCTCTAGTCCATTTTGCTCTGTTTTTTTTTGCAGATGGTGGTCTTTCAAAGTATTTGCCTGAACTGTCCTTGAACCTGGATCTGCCTAATCTCAGCCTTCTAAGAAATAGAATTACAGGCATAAGCCACCAGCACCAGGCTGCACTTGTATTTTTGTTTTAAACAGCTTTATGGAGATATAAATCGGCCCTTAATGTTCCCTCATGCCTAATTGTAGTTAGTCCTTGCTCTCACTCCAACCCCAGGAAACCAGTGGTCTGCTTTGTGTCTCTGTAAGTTTTGCTTTTCCTTAGTAATTTCACTTTGTGGTCATCTGAGCTGTCTTCTTTCATTCTGCATGGTATCATTAGTTCATGCATGTTGTTGGGTATATCAGTAGTTGGTTCTTTTTTATTGTTGAGTAGTAGTTCATTTGTATCAATGGATACAAATGGATGGATATTCGGGTTGCTTCCAGTTTGGGGTATTGTGAATAGGACTTTTCAATCATTTGAATACCAGTCTTGGTGTAGATGCATATTTCCTTTCCTTTCCTTTTGAATAGAAACTTCGGAGCAGAATTGCTCTCTGTTTAACTTTTAATGAAATTGCCTGACCATTTGGCAAAGCAGCTGTTGCATTTCACATTGTACCAGCAACGTGTGAGGCTTTGGACTTTTCTACTTCCTTGCCAGTACTTGGTATTGTCTGTCCTTTGGGGTATAGCTGTTCTAATGGGTGTGTGGTAGTATCGCAGTGTGGTTTTAACTTGAATTTCCTGTATTCTCTTAAGACTGCTTTCAATTGTACAATGTGTTGTGCTTTGAAACACATATATATGAAAGTCTTCTGATAGTCTGTGAGCTGGTCTAACTAGCCAACTGATATAGCACTGTGCTATCACTCAGGGTGCATGCTAAGTACTTAGGGTTTGTTGAATGAATGAACAAACTGGCACTTAGTATAAATGGCCTGTTCTTAGGTATTATAGGTAACAGAAAACACTGACAATGAACTCCAGAGATGATGTAAAGGTCAAACCATTTCCCCTGAGCAAAGTTTGTTGCCACAGAACTGATAAACTTGATGAATTTTTTGTTTGTTTGTTTGCATTCCTCACCCCGTGGTGAGAGGTAAATGGATTAAAGAAAGAACAGGAGGAAGAAAGTTCAGTGAGCTTGCGCTTCTGGAGTCACTTGGGAGTGAGCCATTTGGCTGGTTACTCTGGGATTTCAGGTGTGGGGATTTCTATCAATACCGTGACTGCTGGCTGCTCCCGTGTCCTCTTTCTGTGTGTCACTTAGAGCAGGAGGTCTGCAGACCTTTTTATTTTTTTAGGAGAAAGCAAAGATTTGTTAGGATGCCATTAAAAGGGGAGAAAATGGGGATGGCGAGGCAAAGGAGTGCAGCACCTCTGCAAACCTTTTCTGTAAAGGCCAGACAGTGGCTATTTTAGGCTTTGTGGCCAAGAAACAGCTTTTAAGGATATCGTGGGAGTGTCTACCTAATGAGATAAGCAAATTTCCATGTTTTTATTGATGAATTTCAGAACGTAATCATAATTGGGTACTATTTTTAGTCTACTAAGGAGAAGAATGGAATTCTTTTGGGAAGGATAACATTGTGCTTAATTGGAAGTTTGAAGTTAGTGTTTCCCATCGTGATGGCAGGAACGTGGTCTTATTCTCTGGGCCTCTCTGGGATAAGGTGGTGCCTCTCTCCTGAGAATTCACCAGAATGTGCTATCAGGATTTGCCTGATCAGGATACTGGAGAGATTTTCACCTGGGGAAGCCGGATGACTGCAAGCTCTGGGGTGACAACTTGGGTTTGAATTCTAACTCAGAGTCACATTCACTGTGATGGCTTTGATTTTCTTCATCACTTGTCGAGAAGCTTCTCTTTCCTCATCTGTACGAGCAATCTTACCTACCTCACAGGATTGTTGGAAAGATTAAACACAAAGGCTTAGAATGTCAGATTGTAAGTTTTATTCTTCTTTTGATTTTCTTTTTTCAAAAAAGGATGGAAAACCATGTATAAGTCATGAATAGTACAAAAATAGATGGCAGGCTGAACTTGGCCTCCCGCTGTATATTGCTTGGTATCTTTTTCACTTATTAGTGTATGATACTGTCCTTAATGTTTTTCTGGAACTTGAGTTGTGATGACTACATCTTATTCTGTTGTACAAATGCACTAAAATGTACTTAAGTAATTTCCAACAGCATGGAAGTATTTTGCATCACCATTAGACTTAAATCAGCTATAAAATTAGTACACACTTGTTTGTACACATCTCTGATTAATTCCTTGGGATGAATTACGGAATTGAATCACTGGGTTAAATGATGTCTACATTTTTGGGCTGGGGATATAGTACACCGGTAGAGCACTTGCCTAGCATGTGAGGCTCGTGTTCAGTCCCAGTACTGGGACTAAAACAAAAAAGCATGCCTACATTTTTTTGTTTGTTTGTTTTAGCAGTACTGGGGTTTGAACTCAAGGGCCTTGCACTTGCTAGGCAGGCGCTCTACCACTTGAGACACTCCACCAGCCTGATACCTACATTTTTAAAGCTTTGAGATATCTTGCAAAATTATCTTCTAAGAAAGTTGTATCCTGTCCCATGTGGCCTGTGAGCATGCTGTCATTTACTGTGGTCTCAGAGTTTTATTTGTCTATTGGATTTGTGAATTTAACAAATTAAAACATTTTCATTTTTCAAAACAATTTAAATATATAAAAATATTCTACCAATAATGAAGGTCACACTATGCTATGTGCCCACCAGAAAGACTCAACAGGTGCTAACGTTTTGCTGTATCTGCTTTTGTTATTTTAAGAAAAACACAATATAGATCTGAAAACAAGTCTATAATTGCCTCCTCATTTTACCTATGAGGAAAGTGGCTCAGAATGGTGAAGTCACTAGTTTAACTAGTCAGAACCAGTAAGCGGCAAGCTCAAGGCTGCTTTCTGTTGTGTGTGTTCTGATGGTGTCAATGTCACCACTCTGGTCTCCCCCTCCTGTTGGCATCTGTCTGGTATAGCTCTCAAGTGCATCTACTTTTAACTTTTCTGTTAGAGTTTAGTGCATCTTGTAAATTGCATATAGCTTAATTAGAGAAAAAGAAATCCCGAGTCTAAGGGTTTTTTTAATCAGTCTACTAATAGTCTATTTTAACTAGCTATTGTGTTGTTCACATTCATAGCAATTATTGGTATTTCAACAGTTACCTTATTTCATGTTTTCGTATGTATCATTTCCTTTCTCCTATGAATTAACTTTTTCTTCTTGCAGTATTAAGTTTTGAACTCAGGGCATAACCTTGAGCCCGTTTTTTATGATTTTTTTTTTTTTTTGAGATAGGGTCTCTCGAACTATTTGCCTAGGTTGGCTTTGAACTGTGATCCTCCTGAGTAGCTAGGATTACAGGCATGAGCCACGAGCGCCTGGCCTTTGAATTGACTTTTATCATTTCTTCCCTTTTTCCCTCTGCTGGCTTTGTTTCCCTTAAATGTTCAATGTATATACTTAAGTAGAAATGAAAGGTCACATTCTGCCCTCAGTTTCTTTTCCTTAATATTTGAATTTATCCTCCTTTTGGGTATTTTTTTGTACCTTATTCACTGTTATTTTTGTTATTTTGTGCAACCCAAATTGTATATATTTGCTTCCCCAGTGTCT